TTTTTTTTTTTTTTTTTCCCGCTAGTTCTTCTTCTGTTTCAAAAGCTAACGAGCAGTGCCGTGCAGAAAGCACTTTTGCTTACTTACTTACTTTGCTTACTTACTTCAGGGTGTAAAGAAGCAAAATTACTTTAACCCAAAAGTTTCCGGTCAAAAGAGAGGGAATGTATAGCGAGTTCACTGTTCCAGGCTCCCAGTCGATGGAAACGATGGAAAAATTGGGTGGGTGAAAGAAAAACGAATGGGGGCTGGGGTAGAAAATAAGTAGGCCTTTCCATTTAAAATATTATCAATTTCTTCAGTTTTTCAAGTGTCTTATAGTGCTCAACCCACTGGGTCAGTTATCCTATTTATCAGTAGAAATATTATTAAAGGAAAAAAAAAACATTTTTTAGAAGTGAGAATGGCTATAACGATGGCAATAGGAACAGGACTTCAGTATGAACTACAAGCTTCCCCCTCCTCCATCCCATTAACCATCCCAGTCCAAAATCAATACAGGGCAGCTCGAGGTTGGCTCCATCGATTCCTTAAATGTTTCTGTGCTTAACTTTCATGATGAAATGAGAAGCAGAATGGTTAACGTTGCTTTCCTGAATACAGTCTACTGGCCTTAATGCAACAGAATTTGTACGCATTAGTAACCTGACCTTACCCAGATACACCATACTCTGATCTCCCTTGGTGACATCCACAGTTCCTGTCACTATGAAGTAAAGCTTGGTAACCTGGTCTCCTTCTTTCAGCAGAAAGTGCTTGTGAGGAAACAGCTCGATATGGAAAGCGGTTGCAAGAGCACGGAGACTGCCCTGGCTCGCGCCTTGGAAAATTTCAAACTGTTCAAACAGGCTGTGATTCAGATGAACCCTGATGTCCGCTTGGAGAGATTCTGGAAAGCGGTACATGATCTGAGGGTGAAAGAATAATAAATGTACTCTTCATTGATTAGTTTTGAGACCTTTAAATTGAAGAAGTTAGGCTGCTTTCTATGATTGTTGAATAAACAACATATTCTTTTACCATTTACGTTCTCTTACATAATCAGGAGCTCCATATCTCTACAAAACAAAACAGCAAAAATACCAGCTTCCTTTCTCTGACTACCTACAGGAGGTTTTTGCCTGGTCCTAGAGTATCCAGGAAACGTGTCATATTTGAACCATACAAAATTAACTAGTTTATCACATGACATCCTGTAGCTCAATTTTAGAATATCCGACCGCTGTCCTTAAGGGCACGGGCTCGACTCCCATCCGGGACTTGTCTCCTTTGTCCCACACTGGTGACGAGTGACTCTACAAACCAACAACGGCAACAAAGTGTGCGGACCTGAACAAGACTTTTGGAGTAGAAGGGAGTTTTTGGTGCTATTGTCCCATCCTCCTTCTATACAGCCTCATCGAAAGGCGGAAATCCTGAAATGGGGTTCGACAAAACTGGAATTTAAACTTTTGTTGTTGTACTCAGTCCCCGGGCCAACAGCTCCCGTGTGACGTACACATTTTCTTACCGATTCAATGTCGTCCCCTTTGGCTGCGGTCTTTTCCTGGGCGAAGTATTCTCGTAGGGTCCCCTGAAGACATTCTGGTATGTTATGCAGTGCAATAAATTCCTTAACTACTCGCAAGTCTCGGTGATATCGGGCTGTGCGGGAATACAGGCGTTGTATGATCGCCGTCAGGTTTCCAAATATGGCCGCGTAAAACAATGCTGAGGGAGAAAAAGGTGTAGCGATTACTTAGGTGTTGAGGTTCTAGGGAGCCGGCCTAGGCCATGAGAAGCGCTCTTAATTTCACTCAGAGCGCCTAGCGAGAAACGAACGAGAAAACTGGCTAAACGAAAATGTGGTGTGGTCCAGGGGTTGTGGCACCTTGCTCAATAATCCCGAAGAACTTAGGGGCTGTTAGAATTTTTGGCACCTCAAGTTCTTCTGATACTCCTTTCAATGTAAATAGAATTCTTTTGAGTTAAATTGTTTAAACTATTTCAAAGTGCAGTCTAAGAACTCAGGGTACGCTACGTACTTCGTTACGCAGAGTTAAAAAATATCTGGAGAACAAGGTATTCATGCAATTAGTCCGACATATTCACAGAAGTTGCTCACCGCTTAGTTGCCAGAGACCACCACAACTAAAAGGGACATTATCGCGGTAAATTTTTTGTATTTTTCGTTAAAACGGTTCGTTCTTAAAATCATAGAATAGAACACCAATATGAGGATATTAAGTATATTGTTGAAGGGAGAGTAAATTGGAAATAGGTTTTAGCGATTCTTACTACAAATTAACGACAACAAAAAATACCTGCCAGATTTTTTTAATAGGAAATCACAACTTCGTCGATGTACAATCCCATTATAACAGCCTTTTCGTGTTTTCAGTGCACTAGTATAGTGATTTTTAACAAGACCAGACCTGATTGCTTTTAGGTTTCCATCAGTGAAAATAAGTCTTAAAAGAAGCTTGGTCACGGCCGCGCATGCGCGTCCGATCACGGAACAGTTTGAAAGTTTTAGCCTCAAACTTTCAATATCGTCGAGGAGGACGCTTTTGTAACGTTATCCGAAAATATCTTTGCCATCCTTGAGTGGTTTATTTTTTTGATAGTTGTAATAGCTCAATTGATTGTTGTGGAGTATTTAGATGTAGATTTTGGTTCGCGTTTGAGGTTTAGAGAGTGTTTTTCGTGGATGTTTTGATGTCTTCATGAGATGGTCGGCGAACTGGAAGTGGCCGCAGGAAGATTCACGCTTCACTTTCTGAGGGCGTAAACACTAAAACGAGAAAAAAGCCTCAAAACGTGGACAATGAATGGCTATATGCGAGCAAAATTCTCGCACCTCGCAAAATTCAATATAGCGACTACTTGGGAATCGTAATGAAGTTGTGCCAAATGTTGCACATGCGCAGGTCATGACGCAGCTCCTTTAAAGTTTAGACTCTTTGACGTCTGGCTCATGATAGAGACCCATTTATTTTCGTACGAGAAACATGCAGCACGCTGATGCAATAAATAACTGTATGTGAGGAGTGTTCGTTATCGTTACCGGCATTTCTTAGTTCGCTTTAGAACTGAAAAATCCAAGATTTGTCCACCGGGCAGGATTTATCAAATAAGTGAACTCGATTACCTAAAACCAGGCGAACTGGAGAAGGACCTAAGGTGGTACGACACCTTTAAAAGGGAAATTTTAAACATTATTTGAAACATTTTCATTAGTCCCTTCAGTGATAATAGCGGAGCGGAGCCCCATACTCATATAGGAAAGAAAAAGAAACCCATGAGTTGATTTTCTCATGGCTATCATGGCTAGCGCTATTTCTCGTGGGCGCGTACGCACGACGGCGACGGAGTCGCGCAACATGGCGGCCATACTCCAAATAATAGGTTGACAGAGATATGCAACATTGGTTTACCGTGTACTTCTTTGATATTGGACATCCAAATTATGATCAATTGACACCTGTCAAAACAAGGTATCCGCTGACCAGTATCACGTGGCCATATCGCTGGCTCAAGTTTACAGCTCATCGAGGACGAGTGTTTTTTTACAGTTGACCGCTGACCAAGTGCTGGTTTTTCGATTGGATCGCGGGCTCATCCTAGGTTAACTTGTTGAAAACAGGGCAGGATTGTTCGGAAGCCGGTTAACGCTAACCCAGGATTAAAAGTTAACCGAATTATAACTTTTTCTTCTATACAAATGTTTTTTGCTGAATTTGCTTTGTGTATACAGTGATTATTAAAACTGAAAACAGAAGGCTAAACAATATACAGAAAACCTCAACGCAAAGTTACAAAACTCAAATCAAAATTCTACCTTTTTCTGGGTTAGCTTAATTTGGCTCTGAACAACCCGGCCCAGGAGCTACGCTTTTAGGCTGGCCTAAATCTATATATTACTCACTGAGAGAAATTGTTTGGCACTGTTGTTGATACCATCTGTTACCATAGCAACAGGACCGCGCCAACTAAACCCTCATTTTACAGGCATCACGCCAACAGCAATAACTCTATAACGAAAAATCCTGTGTCCCTGAAATTTTCAGGATATCTTATGCATAGATAGATCTCTGCAATGAACCCAAAATATTCTATATAGCATGATTTTAACCATGTCACATAATTAAAAACTTTCACGTAAACAAATAATGGGCCCTTTCTAGAAAAAAATATGCCTGTCATGGAGTGGTCTTACTGATTTGTGTTTTCGTACCTCCTATCAGCATCGTCATAACAGAGAAGATTTTCTCGTTGTCAGTATTGGGAGCCACGTTACCAAACCCGATACTCGTCAAGCTTGTCAAGGTAAAGTATAGAGCAGTGATGTACCGGGTCCCAGACCCCGGTCCACTGCCCGGTTCTGACTGATTTATTGGCTGGTCCACTTCGCGCGCGAGCGATTGAATCCAACCATACGATAACTCGATTTCCTGCTGACCAATCACGTGCCAGATACAAGCTAACCAATGAGCAATAAGGGTGAAAATTGACGTCAGCAGGAAAATGACAGCTATACCGTACTCGGAATAGCGATCCATTTTGCGAGAAACTCTGATAAGGCGGAGAAGACGAGCGGTTTTTAACAGCCCAGTAAGGGAGGCTGCCTGTGATGAAAATAAAAATAACATACAAAAATAGCCAGTTAAAAAGGTACGAGTTTAGCAAAGTTCAGGCGTAAGTCCTCCGTCAGAGCAATTCAGTTAATAATTTTCACGCAGGAAAACAGTCTGGATGAAACTAACAATCGAACTTACTATTCTCCAAATCAAATAGGTAAAANGCTTAATTTGGCTCTGAACAACCCGGCCCAGGAGCTACGCTTTTAGGCTGGCCTAAATCTATATATTAGCGATGTTTTGTTCCCAAATATCTGGCGGTGAAAGAAACGTTTCTTTGGGATGCTTTTGGAATGCCGTGGAATATCCTGCGACGTTCTTTTGTAACTGCATTTTCGTGTTGATGTATAATCCAACACGGACCGCTGTCTCGGGGTACAGTGTATTGTACTGATCCTTGTCAATGTTAGATTCAGGCTTTGTGAAAAGATTACCCCGTTAGCTCCTCAAAAGTGGTTTATTCTCAGAGGTTTCATTAACATTTTTAGCAGGAGGGCAACTGGTTTTCACAGGCGGACAAAACTTTTTGAACTGAACTTCTTTATAAAGAGAACTTTCCTGTAGATGGTCAAACCAGGCGGGCAAAATCATCTTCCCAGCCGGTTTATTTCCCCATTGCCTGGCCGTTAATGAAACGTCTATTTATTCTTCTATTAGCGTACTTAGGTCGATCTTATTTATCTCGTTATTCGACAGCTGGTCGTTATAACTGTGTGTCTAAAGGCAGGAATGGAACTGGACACCTGGAACTGGGTAAGGGGATCAATCCCTTGTTACTCCCGTGTTGTCATTGTCGACGCAAACCTCATGCGAGAGTGTTTATTTTCCTTGCAGCTGTGTCATGTGGCCATATGGGGCAGCATCGCTAGCTGGTTCATATTCCTGTTGATCTACTGTATTCCTGGCTTGGCGCTTTACATCGCTCCTGACATGATAGGCCAGGTATGGCACCTCTTCAAAGCTCTTTAATGTGGTACTGTTTATTACACTGTACGAGGTGGTTCTAACTTTTAAGTCTGTGGATGAAACCCTAGTGTGTGACCATTCAAATGTAAGCTATTGAGCAGTACTTTCATGTGGTACTGTTTATTATGCTGTACAAGGTGGTTCTAACTTTCAAGTCTGTGGATGAAACCATAGTGTGTGACCATTCAAATGTAAGCTATTGAGCAGTACTTTCATGTGATACTGTTTATTATGCTGTACACGGTGGTTCTAACTTCTAAGTCTGGGGATGAAACCCTAGTATGTGACCATTCAAATGAAAGCTGTTGAGCAGTACCTTCATGTGCTACTGTTTACTATTTTATACGAGATAGTTCTAACTTTTCGCTAGCTTAGACTCTACTGTGCGACGATGCAGTTGAAATCTGTTGAGTAGCACTTTCCTATGGGTCTGTTTATTATTCTGAGCTAGGTGCTTAGCTTCTATATTTTTTTTATGTCAACGAAACCCTAATGTGTGACCATTCACATGTTAACCGTCGAGCAGTGCTGTCGTGTGCTGTTTTGTTTTGTTTTGTTTTTTTGATTTAAGCTATGACCCTTGGGTAGGAAATTATTGTAAGAATTTTCCGCAGATCGTTGTCAACTGAAATTCTTCGCTCTCTGCATGTACATTTTTATGTCTAATCGTTCTTTTATGCTTTCAGGACCGCATGTTGTACTCTTGTTTCGTGTTTTGGATTTCGCTCTTCATCATACCATTTATTACTCTTCTGGTGGACTTGCTGTACAAAGTGTAAGTCAAGAATTTCTTTGTTAGCGACTGTGCGAGCGATTGAAAAAGAACGAGAAAGAAAGCTTAAACAAAACGTTTTATTTTGTCCTCAGGTTCCGAAGAACGTTTTATAAAACGCTGAAGGAGGAAATCCAGGAGGTGGAAGCTGCGCATGTAAGTAACTGAATCGTAACCCGTTGGGCGTGCGCACTGTTTTGTGGGGACTGAGTAAAGCGCGAGGCGCGCGGAGACCACGGTGCCTCTAGCGCGCTTGTCTCGTGCTGTACTCAAATCCTCCAAAAGCGCCGATCCCATAGGCAAGATGAAACTTTTCATTAGCAGGAATATTACAAAAGAAAATCATTTCTCTATGCTTACATTTGGTTACGTATTTCAATGGTCACACTATTTGTAATGGAGGATCTTGTTTTGATTGTTTGTTTCAATTGTTTTTGTCTTGCAGGGAGATCCAAGTCGTTTGATTATGTCAGACCACGCTCTTCACACGTAAGTACAGCCTCACAGGCAGACGCTCTAAGGGCTAATTGACGCGTCCCTTTCCCACGTGGACAAGAAACGCGTAATGAACCCTACTAGCGTCTGCGTGGGAGGGTAACGTAAGTACCGTACACTCATGAATAATCTACAGCTGTGTTTCTTACGCTCCCCTCTAGTTTGTGTAATCATTCATTTGTAAATAGGTTTACAGGGCAAAATTCTCGAGTTTCGACGATCAGAAGTTGATCTTTTTTCAAGGAAAACGTGGAGCTCAAATTTTCAACCTTGCCCATATTGTGGTCCATTTTTTCCCCTGCCATTGTTTGTTATCCTCACTATTTAAGGGTTCCAGTCATTTGCGATGTATATCAAGATCTGAATCTGATTAATTTGCAGGAGAATTTGGTCTCGAGTCGAAGCGTTTGAAGACAGAAAAGATCGTGGTGCCTCTGCACGTAAGTTATCTTCTATCTTTATCAACGTGCAAATTCTCCTTACTGATTTCCCCGCATTTCTTATACTGTAGTTTGGAGAACTAGACATACATCACCATAAGTTCCTCCTAGTGGTACTTTATACATACTACCCGTATACTGTGCACAGTAATTTTACCTAATGCTTAATCGTGCTTTTTTGGTACGCTTTGACGGCTTATCAGCCAAGTTTGGTTATGCCGTGGTTTGTATTTCGGCGAGACGCAATATCCATGGCGAGAGTAAGCGAGCCTGATACACTGTCGAAGAATACCAAAGAGAAACGATTAGGTATTCACTTTACCCAGATTCGGCCATTTAAGGCCCATCATATCAAGTCAGAGACTTGATATCAGGAAAGCAGACAATGCGCCTGATTGCGTGGCTAGTTACGAATTTGGGTAGGGTGAGAAAAGAGATTGGTTGACGGTCACTGCATGCATACATATATACACTTTATTTCATCTCGGATTTACAGAGTAGCTAGACTTAACTAATATCTCTAAGGAAAAGTAAAAGTACAAGGTTAAAAATACTACAGGGCTAAATAATTATGTATATATAATATATGCCAATGATAATTTATAGAATATGATAACCTACAAATTGCGCATAAAATTATAGTTGCGGATAAGCCGCTCGAAGTCATTGTACGAACTTACTGTTCTGTAGTTCTCAGGTAACGAGTTCCAGAGTTTCGAGGCGACATAACAAAAAGAATTTAGACCATAGGAAGTTGTAGACGGCTTGGGAAGAGATAGAATGATACTGCCTCTTAAGGCATACGAGACAGTTCGTTCGAAACAGCTCGCCGAAATACGAACCATGGCAGTTCAGTTCGTTTTTTGTATTTCTGTTTACTGTTATGAACATAAATCTGGTTTGACTTGTTTTATTTTTGCCTTTTCTACAGTTGGGTTTGCGTTTTCTCAGGAAGAAGACGCCCGAGTGGGACAGGTAAGCTATCATCTTTTCCTCCTCTTGGTTAATTTTTTGTATTTCTGTTAACTTTTTCTTGGTGGCCAACTTCTCAACCAATCAAAGCCCACGTTCAGTACATGGGGATTTCATATCTTCCCCCCCCCCCCAGTCTCACTCGGTTGTCGATTGGTCACGTGACTGTGAGAAATTAACATGAAGACATGTTAATCTGCAACAAACTCGTTCATGAAGCTGCAAAGGTTTTTTTCCGTTTTGGAAGGCTTTTGGTCGATTAAACGTGCTTGTTTTTGACGAAGAGTTTTCCGTAACCACTAAATTTCTAAATACAGCCTCGATTGAAAGTGTTAAGGACAACGCGACAAGACCAAATGGTAGTCTAAGGTCCATGGTCAAACGTCGAACTTCACTTGCGCCGAACCTGATACAAATGCGCAACAGCTATTGTTTTTGCCGTTGTCGCGCTTGGATCTTTTTCGACGACACGTCTCGGTCTTTGTAGATTCTTCTAGCTCCTGATTGATTGATATTTTTTGTCATTTCACAATAAAACATGATAAATTGAGAAAGATTTAAACCACTTTGGTTAGAACTAAACGATTGTCCAACGTCATTATCAAGTCAAAATGGATACAATATGGTAAAATGGGCATTTTTTTTAAAATTCTATTGCAGTGTCTTACAATAGTTATTGTTTTGATTTCAGGCGGAGCTGATTCGTCGTTATGACACAACTCTCAAGAAACCTCGAGGAGATTAGGACAGTGGACGTGCCTCAGCGTTTTGAGTTGTAAAAAGTTATTTTAGTGTTATTATTTTTCATAAGAAAGTTTATATATTATTTAAAGAATTAGTCCTACTTGTTGCAGTTCAAGAAAAACTGACATTCTTTTGAATGAACAGCAAAATAATAATTTAAAATTTGAATTATAAATTGAGAAGCTCTCTCCTTTTTTCATAAACTCATTAGATGTTTTGTCGGGCAACAAGTTTCTTTTTGGTCGAAATCCTTGCCGCTAGATTCGCGAATCCCGATGTTTTTGGCGAATATGTTACTGGTTAACGAAGTGTTTCACAAAGACCTTAATGTGACCAAAGCGATCTCATGCACAACAATGCCGCTTCCAGTTTCCACTAGCTTCGATTGTGTGGGTTTGACAGGCTAGTGTTAATAGAAACGTGAATCAACCAATACAATTACAAGCCAAACTAAGGTCGGCAAAACTGATTAATAGCAATAATTAAATCTGCAATAAAATCGCCCATCTAAATTAGCCGTTCAATTGTTTTGAGACTTGCTAATAAATGATTTACTTATGGATAGAGGAGGGACTGGACACTTGTGCGTGTGACCGCTGCGTCACATGACAGCTTTCGGAGCGTTCGAGTGCCATCTGTGACTGGACAAAAACAGTCGGGCACGTTTGGATACTTCAAGGAGGATTTGACGAAAAAGACGCTTGTTGCTTGACTAGGTTATAATAGTGGGAATAATAAGTAACGTTATATTTTGTTGAATCACGCACTGTCGTAACTATTTTGAGTTTCCTCACGCATTCACGCACGTTACTTCACAACGGTTCATTCAACTGGCTTTTTTCCAGTTTCCTTTCAAATTAACCAAGTATGGAGAAACCTGCTCTCCAACATCCATTTATGTTAATGTTAAATGGTTTTTGACCTTGTTAATTTATGAAGGTTTTGTACCTAGTAGTTTCTGTATATTTTGTTTAGAGAAGCGTTCGCCTCGACGTTGGCACTCGGCGAAAGTTGTTGACATCTTTTTGACATCGTCTAGACCAGAAGGCGGAGTTGTTTGTTTTATGATTGGCTGAGAAGTTTGGAAAACCAACGAAAAGTCAAATCTTCTGCGTGTCGGGACGAAAACGTAACGCAAGTTTATTTTTTTGTCATAAAAGTACAATTTTCTGATGTTTTTTCTACTTATTCCGAAGTATTTTAGTTATATGTAAGACTACAATGAATGGTCAGTCGAGTTAACATGCCTTAGAAATCTTAAGGAAATTACCAACATTTATTCTAAAAACTTATTATATCGACTTTCGGAAACCATGTAGAAAGTTATAATTTACTCTTCTGGATATTTTACAAATCGGAAATTTAGTAATCAGAGAATACTACAAAACATTCTGGTTACGTTAGATTCTACATTACACTGTTTATATAATTTTGTAATGACCATCTTTACATGAACCACATAAGATCACGTCTTTCATCTAGAATTCGTATTCACCCTCTAATTGTTTGTAAATTGTGTTTTTGTGCAACTGATAACATTTCTGTTGTTGTCAATGATGTATTGCAGAGGTACGAATATAATAATGCTATATCTATTTATTATTAGCCAATAGTTAAAGTTAAAAAAAAGAAAGAATTGTTGTGAGTTGTTATAACCCAAGTTGAAATAGATTGGACTATGTGAACAATAAAGTGAAGTGTTAATGCATGCGGGGTTTTGTGGTCAGGATTCTTCAGAGTGGCAGATCAACCCAAATAAAACGGATACAAAATAAAGCTTGCAGTTCAGAAAGGTCTGATTTTCATTTATTTCATCTTATTTTATTTAGTGTTTGTGGTGCCTACGATAGACGGATTCCGCCAATGTGTTGACATCCTTTTTGCCACGCAATTCAGATTTTATGATGATTCATTTGGGAGGTTACAATTGTTCTGTTTGTACTTACTCGCATGCAATCAGTTGAGTGTGACAAATTGCACAATTGAAACGTCCCAAATGAATCATCGCGTGGTCTGAATTGGGTGGCAACAAGTGAAAACACGTTAGCTTTATCCGTCTATTTTTGATGTGAATAATTCCTTCCGAAGCTGTAACCGCAACTATCTCTTTTTATATCTTGGTCACGTTACCTGACGTTTCCAAACTGTGTGTTGGCGAGGTTTTTGACATGTTGTTATCACTGATGTAAACAAGTTTGGATTCTTTGTACGCTAACAATGAATTATTTCTTCATACTTTGAGCTGTGTATTCTGAAAACTGGCAAAGTTGGAATGTCAGTTTCGCAGTCACGTTCAAGGTCACGCTATAAGCACGTT